GAATTTGCAGAAGGACATGGAAATTGTGCTGCAGGGAGAGAAGTCGATGTCGCCAAAAAAGTAATCCGAGACTGGCACAAGGCTCACAGCGTCCTCTGGACAACGAAGTCTACAAAGAAGGCCAACTGGGACAAGAAGGCACGCTGGCCAGACCTTGAGCAAAGACTGCGAACGTGGGTGCTACAACAGTGAGCCGAAGAAAGAGGCCTGTCTGCAGTGAAGCTGCGCCTGAAGGCGAAGGCTCTGGCAGCGGAGACTAACACTGAGGGGTTCAGAAGTGGTCCGTCATGGTGTTTCCGCTTTATGCGGCGGAATCAGCTTGTCATGCGAGCCCGGACTACAGTGAGCCAGAAGCTACCTGTCGACTTTCAAGCGCAGCAGGAACACTTCAGCTAATTCGTGAGGGAGAAAATTGCGAAGAAGAACGCCAGCGCGAGCCACATCGTCAACATGGATGAAGTGGCGTTGACCTTCGACATCCCGCTCGGGAGAAGTGTCACCGAGAAAGGCCAGAAAACTGTGACGGTGAAGACAACTGGCCACGAAAAGTCTCGCTTCATCGTTGTGCTCGCCTGCTGCGCAGACGGCACCAAGTTGCCTCCCATGCCGATATTTAAGAGGAAAATCTTGCCGAAAGATACCTTCCCTCCTACAGTGGTGGTTCAGGCGAACGAAAAGGGTTGGACAGACGAGGAAACAATGGGTGTATGGCTTGACCGCAGTTTTTCACGTCGACCCGACAAATTCTTTCACGTAAAGCTAGGAATGTGGGTGATGGACAGTATGCTGGCTCATATCACCGACGTGGTAAAAAAAAAAAAAGACCAGTTCGAAGCATTGCGTGCCTGTAATAATTCCCAGCAGCATGACCAAGTTGCTTCAGCCGCTCGACATATCTGTCAACCGCAGTTTCAAGGCCATTCTGTGTCGTTTGCGGGAGTCATGGATGTCGGAGAGAGAGCATAGCTTCACTAAAACGGGCCGCATGAGATGGGATAAGTCTGGCGAAATGGGTGAGTGAAGCCTGGCATTCCATTTCTGACAAGACAATTGTAGCTGGCTTTCGCAAGGCCGAGTCGATCACCTGCGTGGCCGATGTTGAGTCCGATTCAAGCGAGTTGGAGGATGACAGTGACGGGCCAGCAGAGCTACAATCCAAACTAGCTGCACTGTTTGTGAGCAACTCGAAGGAAGACAACTTCGATGGTTTTGATTCATCGTAATAATAAAATATTTTTTACTAGAAATATTGCTTTTATGTTTGTTGAAACGCATTCGCACGAATCTGCCAACAGCTGGAAACTTGCCAAAGCGGCGGCCGCCTCAAGCATGCATTTTTGCAATGCTTTCTCACGACGCGATACTCGTTGGCCGGATAAGCAAGAGGGACTTATACACCGGTGCGACTTATATACCGTATTTTTGCACGTATAACCCGCCCCTGCATATAATCCGCACCCCCACTTTCAGCTCACCGAGAAAGAAAAAAAAAATCGTCGCGTATTGCCCGCACATTTGATATACAGGAAAGGATGTACAAAAGCTACTGCTCAAGCAACATGGCACATATATAGACAGAAAAAGCTTTAATTAGCAAGCAGAATACGCTGTCTGCAAGGACAGTCACAATTCACTCACTGTTGCTGCTCTCGCTAGGGCTATCACTTAAGCCGCAGTCCTCACTATTATGCACAAGGTCATCTTCGGTTTCATCTATGTTGTTTGTGATGCAGCATTTCTTGAAACTTTTTCGCACCATCTCACCTGAAATGGCCTTCCATGCCTCGACAATCCACTTGCAGAATAGGGCAATATCAGGCCTTCGGACTCGTCCTGTCGGCGTCAAGTCGTAGCAGCCTTCGGCCATCCACTAGGCGTAATAGCGCTTGACATGCGCTTTGAAGGGCTTGTTAAGCGACGCATCTAGAGGCTGCAACATTGACGTCATTCCACCGGGTATAACAACTAAGTCGGTACCGTTGCGTGAAAGGCGGTCCTTCACTTCCTCAGTTGTGTGGCCGCGGAACGAGTCAAGAACGAGCATGGACCTCTTTGCGAGCATCGCACCAGGCCTCTTCTCTCATACCGTCTTGATCCAGTCTACGAACAAGTCACTGTTCATCCACGCGTTCTCGTGTGCACACACCACCATACCGGCAGGCAAATGAACCTTTGGTAGAGTTTTCCTTTTCAAGATGACGTACGATCGCAGTTGCGTGCCATCGGCGAGGGCACAAAGCAAGAATGTGATGCGCAGTTTCGTGTTCCCGCCGGTCAGCACGCTCACCGAACTGCTGCTCGTCTTCTCAATCGTTGTGTCCAACGGCATTTCAAAATAAACAGGAGTTTCATCCGCATTGCCGATTTGCGAGAAAATGTAATTGTTCTGCTTTCGCAGGCCAATTACATATCTCTGGTACTTGAGCAGCTTCTCATAAGAAGCCGACAAGCGTTGACATATTGTAGTCTGCCGTCTGATTGAGAGCCCTTCCCGCTTCATAAAGCGGTGCAGCCATCCGCGGCTCGCACAAAACTCGTGAGGTAGGCCTAGCTCCCTCGAAAGTCGCCGCGCTTTCACTTGGGCCATCTCAGTCGATACGGCGTGACCCCTGCTTCTCACATCTTCGATGAACTTTACTAGCTGCGCCTCCAGCTCAGGGTAGGCACCGGTCTTGGGGCCACGAAATGACCTATGGTCGCAATGCGCGGCTTGTAGGCTCTCTTTCTTGTTTCTCCACAGCCGCACGCAGGACTCGTCCACATCGTGCCGTTTTCCCGCTTCACAATTTCCAAATTCCTCGGTGACGGAGATGATCTTAAGCTTTTGCTGTGCCATGAAGGCCTGCAGCCGTACGCTACTCATGGTGACAGAACAGATCGACTTAGGCTTGGCGAACGGGTCGGGATGTGGAGAACTAGCGGTATCAGTGAGGTAAAGTGCGCTCACACTCGGCGACAACTTGACAGCACTACCCCTTCTAGTACACTGTAACAGCACCCTGAAAACAACAGAACCGAAATGCATGCCTGCTACCGCGTCAAAAAGTAGTGCATTAATTTACTGATAATATCTCTATAGGCACTATAACATCTCATTTGCCTTGCTCAAATAAATACTGCTTTATTTATTATGGAGCTTGCTTTATTTATTATGGAACTTTCTTAGACAGCGCCACCTTTTCGGCAAGCCCTTTCCAAAAGTAAACATGGCATCCAGAACGTCCAAAAAATATACTTGTGGTGTGACAGTGAAATTTTACACTAAACAATCGAATTGTCTCTCCCCAAATGTTTTTCTAAACGCTTCAACGATGCAAGCAAGCGAAACCAAAATCAGGCGCAAGCTGCCGTGCTACTTGCGGAGCAACACGAATTTGCGGAAACCGCCTCCGTAGCCTTCGCTACACTGTTAAGGGGCTTCACAGCAGAACACGCATTGCTGTGAAGCAGCACTATAGAAAAAACCCCGCGTATTATTCGCACCTCCACTTTGCTACTGAAACTTTTGGGTTCTCGGTGCGGGTTATACATGCGAAAATACGTTTTTTTTTTTTTTTTCGGAAAAACTGCTATTTTGAGGAAGGTGCGATTTATACAAGGGTGCGACTTATAGACCAAAAAATACAGTATAATGAAATATTGGTTATAACGAAGTAAATGAAAAATAGTCTAGAAAGAGGTATAGTGTTAGGAATAGCCTTTATAACAAATTTTCGGTATAGCAAACTTATTTTCTCGTAATATGCAACTTTGTTATAATGAGATTCAAGTTACAACAGATTAGTGGGTAAAAAGACACCATTGTGCCTACATCAGAAGAAGAATTTATCAGCAAATGAGAATGTGGCACCCTGTTCATAAGAGACACCCCATATAATAGACAAGAAGTGCTCTTTGGTGCGTGTCTCTTATAAAGACTTTAATTACGCAGCACCTGACATATGGTGTCATCCGTAGGCAGATTCGGAGCACTTCCGGTAATACATTCTTCTGCTCCATGCGGAGCAAGTCTATTCTATTGGCAGATTCAGAGTGCTCCCTGTATGTTCCATTGGCAGATCTGGAGCCGCTCCTTCACGAGATCCACTCCACAGAGCAACTTTTTCTACTCCGCGAAAATTGGCAGATTTGACCGGATGTCGCCAGCGCCCCATGCCTTGAAACGGTCCCAACTATGGGCGCGCCAACGGACGCCGGTCGCATCAGTGGGCCTCACGTCAGAGCTCACATTTTGATAGCGTAGCGTCGCTGTGCCGAGCGTGCCCAATCAAGCAAGAAGAGAGACGCACGCATTGCATTTCATTCTGACCCTGCCATTTGCTCCAGAGGGAATGCGTGTGTTCCATCAGTAGATTCCATTGTGTTGCTCTCCGTCAGAGTGGAGCCCTCCGGCGAAAAATTCGTCGGCCACTCCAAGTCCGCCAATCGATAATACCAATAGAGACAAGCATAAAGAGAGGCATAGCATGCCTTTCAAGGTTGAGACAAAAAGCTATTGTAAAAATCTGTTTGGATCATCATTCTATTCTTCCACACACAACAGTGGACGTAAAGTCTCTTCAGGACTGTCTGTAACGTGGGGAAGATATTTAATTAGAATGAAGGCTTGTTCACACCTATAAGCAGCGTGATTGACTAGACAAAATCAGTCTCAAAGTGACCGGTCACAAATGGCCGCTTTGGTTACAAAGCAGCTGCTCTGACTCAGTCGCTCACTGCTCAATTTTTAAGTCGCATGACTGCATTTAAAAGCATCTGAACCAATCAAGCACGGAGGAACAAAACATCAGCGTATCTTACGGGGCAATGCCAATACGAGCCGTATGCGAGCAGACATGAATTTCGTGTGGCAATGAATAGAGGCCGCACGCAGCTCCGAACATCGGTCATTTAGAGTCACTTTTTGGTTGCCAGTCATTAATGGTCACACAACTGGTGCTAGTCAAAGGTGCGAAAGAGCTTTCAATGACATATTTGGTAAGTTGGTAAGTGTCACTCACCCAAGGAGGTCCGGAGCATGCTCTGAGCAGCGAATAACTTTCGGGTGATTGACCTGGTCAGCAATCAGGGTGTGGAACTTGGCGACGCTGAGAGGTGGGAGGACAACAGTATGAGTGCATATGACTCATCAATATGCCTGGTTGTTAAATTGCAGTCAGCTGAGAATGCAATGACTGCAAAGTAAAGGTGGGCAAATATTCAAAATTTCGAATACATTTCAAATCGTCTTTGCTACTCGATTCACACTAGTATTTTACTATTCAAATTATTTGAACTTTCTGAAGCCAAATACATCGAACATTCAATTAACAATGGCCCCTTCAGGTTTTATATATGATTCACACCATCCCACCCTCGCTTTGCGGTGAAGCTGCCTTTCAATATCCCTGCTATGGTCGCAAATGTTTCGACTCGAGGAAACACTACTTCCAACATGAAGATGATGGATGTAACAGAAGTTGCGGCTCAATCAATGCTGTTTTAGGCCTGAAATCTGGGCAGGAAATCCGAAAAATTGGACACTAAACATTCGATATTTCAGATGTTTTTTTATATTGACGTTTATGAGACTGATTTCAAACTGCGGACCCAAATGGAGCACCACTGTGCCTGCCACATTAGTTGGGCATCCACAAAAGTTGAAAGAGGAAGAGAGGCTGGAAAATAGCATCTTTTCCTTTTACGCATGAAGTGTTGTCGGGAACACTTTTGTCGCACCAAATCACGTACATAAATAAAATGTGGCCTCTGCATTGCCTCATTGTTGAAAAGACAACTACGATATATTTCTCTTGCGAGCCCGAGTGAGTTCCACTTCTTTTGCCGACCAATGATGGACAATCAACAAATGTCTCTGACAACAATTTCTGACAATTCACTTTTATCTCATAGTTTGGCATTTCTTTCTCAACCCAAAGGCCATGTACAAGGGGAATACACTGCACAAGGTACACTGATTTATATAATAAGGATATAAACTGCAGGCTTACAACAACAAAAAAATCTGGCAATGCATTTGCCTTTCCTATCACTGCAAGCAAACACACACTGGAAGCCAAACATTTAGGCCGACGTAACCAAGCTCAGCAACATCTTTTATGAAAGATGTGAAATTTGCATAGTAATTAAACTAGGTATGCTCTTGAATTTTTTCGCTGCAATCAAGAACTGAGGGCTTTACGTATAAAACTACAAATGATGAGTTCTGCCGTAATAAGCTAACGTCTTCCTCGCACACACTATGACTGATCCGCAACTTAGTCAACTGATAAAGAGAACATGAACGAAGCTTTATTAACCCCTTCGGCAGTGGAGGTGTCACCACCCAAAATTTGCCCTAGCAACTTGGAAACGAAACCAAAACTACTCATTCTAGGCAGAACACTTCTCCAATAATTCTCACCACATTTGGCATCAAAATCAGTGGCATCTTTGCTAAACAGGGGGAACAAAGAAAAAAGGCTTGACCAAAGTCTTGAGTCAAACCGAAGCCCGTAAGCGCCACTTTTAGAATGGTGTAGTGAAGTCGTTTCAGTGAGTGTTGCAGTGAAAAGTAATGTGTTGGTTTGCATTTTGTGTACTTTAGTGAGTCAGTGGAATAAAGAAGCCATTTATCTCATTTCACAACATCCGAGACCTGACGACCTAATTTTATGCCATGTTCATTATTCGACAAATAACTTGCATCACTGGGTCAGTTTTTTGTTCGTGGTCTTCTGGTGTCCTAAATATTAGGAAAACAGGCACAAAAAAAATGTCTACAAGAAAAATTAAAAAATCCACGGCTGAAAGAGTTAATGTGTTATACAAAGAAGCAAGCAGGAGCCAGCAGCTGTGGTAATCGAGGCTTGTCTACTGCAAAAGTTGCCAGACGAAAAAATGATTACATGCTTCAGGTTTTTACATATTCAATTTGACAGATTCACCTGCCAGAAAAACGCTATCTATGATCATGAGGTAGTTGGGGAGTCGAGATTAAATTTGACAATCTGTGGTTTTTAACGTGCACAGTAACCAAATTTCACGCACATTTTGTTGCATTTCACCGTTAATAAACTGTGACTGCAGCAGATGACAATCCAGCCCGCCTTTTTAAACTTAGCAGTGTGAAATTTTACATGATACACCACCATAGCAAATGCGCACTCTATGCTCAGAGTATGGTTACGCAACATGAAAATTCAGTTTACATGTGAGCGGTGAGTCATAAAACAAACAGGAAGCCGCCTCTGGCTGAATGCGTTCAATTACAGGATGAACTGAAGACAGAAAATACCGACACCATATGTAGTCTGCATATGCCACGAACAGATTTATTCATTGATACAGGAGTCACAGAGACTATAGCAGGAGTGAAATATAGCAGTTAAATGATATTCCCCCAAAAAAGGTGCAAGCATATACAAAAAAAAATTGATGAAGCAAAAAATACAATGTATACAGGTGAAACAACAATGCTAGAAGTGAACAAGAAATACAATAGAATTAAATAGCAAATGGTAACTGTCAAATGCAAGAATACATGAACAAGCTGAAGAAACACAAAAATAGAATATAAATTTCAAAGAAAAATTCGTCGGATAGATAATCGAATGTACAAGATCATAAAACAAACAGGAATGACTCAAACAGAAAGGTATTCAAGGGAGCTACCAAACTACTGCAAGTGTTTTTTCAAACGAAGAAACCAGTCTAGTGTTAAAATATTATCAGTTCGGTAGTTCTAATGAACAATGTTTCTAGGGAAATAAGGATTATTTAAAGCAGCTGTATCGTGGAAGTAAAAGCGTTGTCAGAAGGGAATGTCTCTGCCTAGTTGGGAAACCTTTAAAATAAGCGATAATGTGAAAAAAGCCTATGTTGCAATGTCCTTTAACTACATGATACAATAATTTCGAGAGTGTGTTGTATTGGCACAGACGATAGCCGCTCACCCTTCGAACGTGTCCCCGATGCCACTGACATCGCGAAGCACAAACTTGAGCATGGACTTGTGCACCTCCGAGCCAAGGTGAAGCGAGGACTGGCGCTTTACGCGAGCCCCTTGTGGCACTCCCATCATCTCTCTTTCGTGAAGCAGGGCTGCAGTTAGTGCGGGCAGGTCCACCAGACTGTGGAACACCTGAAGAACGTGATAGCATGAGCCAAGTGCGCCTCTGTACGCATCCTAAAGCATGCATTCACTGCAACTGAAGCAGATATTGTAATAGGCTGGTAGTGGTACTTGTAATTCATCACGCAAATGTCCGCCATTGTGCCAGCCTTGGCATGACTTTAGAGGGTGGCATGTAACAGGAAGAGAGAGAAAATAAGTATATACACGTTTTTTATTGTTTTGTCCCCATATTCACCCATTAAAATGTTGCTGTAATGTCACACGTGACATAAGGAGCGATTTAACTGATATTTGTTATAATTACACACCTATTATAATGCAACAGCAATGAGCCAATTTCCATTATCTAAATCACATCAGATGATAGAAGAAACTGCCATTAAAATAAAGCACAAAGATTTGATACGATTGTGCATAACACTTTTTTTTCTGGCAGAATACCTTTTTGTTTCTTTCCATGGCAGATAAACCATAAAATACAGTTCAAGCAATCATGTTTTCACGAGCAATTGGACGATATGACTACATAGGCTCGTTTTTGCTGGTATTTATAAAACATTTCGCTTTACAATGCAGCAGTACCACGGAAATACGTAACAAACAACCTATGAATAACACATTACAATCACACTGCCATGCAGATTCCGCGGCAGCGCAGAGGAATTGGCAAAGGAATTGCCAATGGGGGAGAGACCGGAGGGTGCTATTGTAACACTGCCAATTTAAGTTGGCAATGCGGCGTAACGTTGCTGAAGAAAAAGTGCATCAACCACGGTACATACTTCATTATTGATGCTGTGCTGAGTAATGCGTTATGTGAAGCGCAGGCATGATATCACGGGCTTTTAATAATTGAACAAGCATTTTCGCAAGATGAAAAATTGGGCGAGTTGGTGCAGATTTGTTTGTATTTTCACAGCATTTTGTCCACTTGACAATGCCTTGATGCACAGTGTATACCATGATTATTCGAATCTCGTCCGATAGTTGTTTTTTTTTTTTTTCAATTTTCTTAGCATCAAACTTTAGGGTCAGCTTGAATTTGCGAATTTCGAAAACGCGCCATTGTTCATTGAAAAAAGCGGTGCACAAGTAACGCCATTTAGGCAGCATTACAGCCGTTGGTAGCTAAGTCAAGTACACACGTGAGGCCGCCATTTTGATCATTTTGGCAGAGTGTAATTGTGAAGAGTGTTGAGGCGAGCATTTGTCATTTCTAGTCGCACTTTGAGTAGTCTATGTGTGGCGTAGCTCAATGGGGTCAAACAGGCGGCATCATTATAGTGCCGTCGCTGGAAGAGCTGCAGTGTGGGATGACAATCCGTGAACTTTGATAGCGCGCACTTTTAAGAAATGTGGCATATTCAATGCGCTTGATGGCACCGAGGATTGCACACTGTTTGAAGACAGTGACAAAGAAGTCACCGGCGAGGGAAGCAGTGACGACAACTCGGAAAGAGTGGGGCATGGGCAAATGCGGCGCCATTATGATGCAACTAGAAGCGTCACAAAAAAGGCCAACAAAGAAATACACGCAAGAGGACTTGGGGACTTGCGCAAAAGGACTTGTTTCTCAGGTTATTTGCATCATGAACCAACTTCTTTGTTTCATCTTCATGTTCGATAAACATTTTCTCTTTGTGAACGCTGTCTCCACTGTTTCATTAGGCCTACAATAGAGGCAAGTTTTTTTTGTTTGTTTTTTCGGGCTTGGCACTATGAAAATGAAAAGGCCAGCTTCGTCACAAGTAGTTCTGTTCGTATGTTATATACGTTCCTGGGTTTCAATAGAACTTCAGTTGAAAATCAGCGCTGTGCCTTGTCCACTTCTATTTATGTCTAGGTCTTCGCGCTGTTAGCCACAATGAAGCATTTTCGCTGTGCATGGCTAATCGACGCCCAGACGCATGTGCTCCGTAAGGTCCATAAGACAACAGACTGTGCAGTAGAGCTCCCATTAATGTTCACAAAGATGCGGTATGTAAGTACAAAGCACTTAAATCCAGACACAGAATGCACGACAGAAGTGAGCAACTACACAAAAATTGCTATTTAAAGGAATCATTGTCACCATTTTCACGCTGATGCTCTGGGCTGAACACGAACAAACAGTAGTCAACAAATTCAAGCAATAAATTTTGAATATGACACGTCGCACTTACAAACATCAAGAAACTGCGTTCACTAAAAAACAACAATAACAAAATATGAAAAAAACAACCAAAACAACAAATGTTTGACAGCTACCTCAACTACACTCTTGGCTGATATGAAGGCAGGAACAATGCTCAGGAATTGACTCTTGAACTGCTGTGGATTCCAAGCAAAGATCTGAAGGGAAAAAAAAGTTTCACAATATGCCACTCACTCATAACTTAGACATACATCAAGCATAGATGCACTGTTCAATCGCATCAATCAAATCGCTAACCTTCGTTCTATGCCAGCTTATGAAAAAATTGACGATTACCATGCAAGCTAAAGTAGCATGCCTCCCAAAGACAGGTAGGCACTATATAATTAGGAAAAAGCGCCTCATCGAAACTTCACTGCTAATTTAAAATTTCCGTCATGTTTCAGGAAAGCAATTATGGTCACATTTCCTTAAACTTACCTTTATGGTAAGTCTAACGAAATGTGATGAAATGTTCCCCCATGCAAAGCGTAGCACAGCGGATCTGTGCTGTATCGGCTCATGACGGCCAGCGCAAACAGAGAGTGGATGAGAAAAAGTGACGATGAGATGCAACAAAAAGTGACGACACAAGCACTGCCTAAATGAATGTTTTAAAGAAAAACAGAAAAAACACTATAGTATATATTGGTAGAAAAGATATCAAAACCGCACACCCCTAAAAATAACTAACAACCACTGCAATATTATTGTACATAGGCGATCACAAAACAAGTTCTACGAAAGTTACTTCTTCAACAAACAAGAGCTACAAAAGAGCAGCTCACGCACAGCAACCTCAGAAGCCGTGCTTTTGATGAAAAGCATGACAGACATTATTAGCTGTTTTCTAACTGTAGGGTAATAATCAGGACATATATGTACTGAAAGAAATTAGAGTGAATAAAAAATCATCCCCTGCATCAGTAGGAAACAATCCCACAGCCTTCAAATGACACAGTCTGAGCTTCAGACGCCCGATTCGAGTTCTGAGCATCTGGATCCATGTTTCAAAGGGTGTTGTCTCAAGCTCTGCTGACAAAAGGGGTGCGTCTTTACAGCCCTTTAATTGATTTCAATTTACGGTCTAACTACTCAGTTTAACCATCTCGGTCCCGCGGTACCCAATGGGGTACTGTTGTTTTAAAGGCTACAGATCATCACAGTTAGATATCCGCATGTACAAATCTGTCTTGGCACAGTAAAGATGAGTTGCTTTCATGAAGCCTTGAGAAGTGGCACCGTGCGTCTAGTCATATTCGCCAAACGAGCAACTGAAAATGACTGAGTACTGCACGAGCGCTCGGTTGCGTCCTCGTGATAGGTGAAAGATAAGTTTCTTAGTTGTAGCGTGAACCACGTCTATACTACATTTCTTTAACTGTGTATGCCCTGTAGATCATATTGAAAATAATTTTGGTGTGATAATTTTGTTGCACTCAATCTTAGAGACTTTATTAGATTAGGAGTACGCAAATGGGTACTATCACATTTTGAGACAACTGTTCAATATTTTCAATTCATCATTTTTCTGCATTTATTTCTAAGAGCAGAAAGTCAAATAACACAGTTTTGCAAAAGCTTTTTTCATTGGTGCATTGTTGGGACTGAGGAGGTTAAAAAAATTGGGGAGGGAAAAGCATGGGGGAAGGTTGTTTCAGCTCCGCCAGCATGACACCTGGAAAGGCCTGAAGTGTGCAGTGTTTTGAGAGAGATCTCAATGATGAGGTGGTATAGTGGTGCCCAGCCTGAAACCGGGCATGTTGAGAAGGCTGTTTCCACTCCACTAACATTGCCATAAAACTGCATTAGAACAAAGCTTACCTTTTAAGGTGGTGCTTCTCCTTTCCTACATACTCAGTTCTGTTCTCTACGACATGTAGGGAAGCGCGTTTCTGTTTCACCAATGTCGTCAGCTATTTGCTTGGCTAACTGTTGCCATCTTCGTTTTTAGTGGACCGGTGGCGAGTGGTAGGTTTTACCATTGTGGCACACCCCCATTTGTATGATGGACATTGACTACATGACACACGTTGACATAACACGCCGACAAGCTAGCCCCAAATGTGCTTCGCACCTAAGTCAACAATATCCCCCGTGTCTCACTTAACACTTTCGTGACTGCGTCTATCCCCATCGATAGTATGTTTTCGATGTTTACAACTTCAATATTCACCCTGTTTCGAATGCTTTTGGACCCCTTGCACTATCTAATGCGTAAAAGAAAAAGTATTTAATGAGTTTCGCTTTTGTGTTTCTCTTTCTTCACCATGTAGTGATTTTAAAGCACTTTCCACACGTGCGAGTGAGTGTGAATAGTTTAAATCATGGCGTCGACGTCGTGTGTGACCGCTTCGTGGAAATGGCGAATTTCGGGGGGGTTTCATGCTTTTGGGATAAAATATTCAAGTGACAAAACAGCACAGGCGCTAAAGACAACATCAACACTTTTGATTTCAGCGCGGACAATGAGAGTTCATCAAACCGCCCCGAAACATCAGCGGCCGTCCACCAGTGAGTTCAGCTTTGTGCTCAAGCCACGTTATTGCCGGCGCGCGTCCGTGTAAATTGATCGATCTGATGTGTTCTGAAGACTAGTGCTTTTATCTGCAGGGCGTCCACTTCCTTCAGGCAGGACTACTTGCCGGCGGCAGCGCTGTAGTGAGTGCTGCCGCCTTTTTGTTTTTTAATGTTCAAGTTATTGAAGAGCTATGCAAAAGCACAAATAATTATGCTTAGACGCATATTTATCAGATGCCAATGTACAGCGAGAGGGACGGTTCTTAGAGGTCCCACAGTCCATCTTGATGCTCCTACACAAAACACTCCTCAGCGCTAACGACACCAGCCAAAAGAGGAAATATCAGGAACTGTAAATTATGCTATGAACAAAGAAAAGTTGAACAGAAAGCAAGTGTTTTCTGTGAAACATGCGTGGCAATCCTGTATTTTACTACATCGCAAAACTGCTTCGCAGAGTGGCATGAAAGACACCACGGGTAATGTTATTTTATGTACACAAAAACTTTTGTATTTACACTGCTTATATTTACAGGACAATTGTGTGTGCTCTTCATGCTTGAAATGTTTATTTCAATTTCTTTTTATGCTTAGGTTGTTCAGAGCAGTGTTGATGGATCTATGAAATTTCTTTGCTCATGTTTACAATGTTTTTCGTTTGATAGTTTATTTCATACCATTGTTAATAAATTTGTGTAATAAATTTGTGGTTTCAAACTGACCGTGTTTGAAATATAACTCAATATTGATATGTGGTGTTTAGCGTCCCAAAACCACCATATGATTATGAGAGACGCCGTAGTGGAGGGCTCCGGAAATTTTGACCACCTGGGGTTCTTTAATGTGCGCCCAAATCTGAGCACACGAGCCTACAGCATTTTCGCCTCCATCGAAAATGCAGCCGCCGCAGCCGGGATTCGATCCCGGGACCTGCGGGCCAGCAGCTGAGCACCTAAGCCACTAGAGTGCCGCGACCAGGCTTGAGAATCAACCCCTAGCAGCACAATTTGACACCATAAACATTAACATCAGTAACTTTGGAAGTCATTAAAAAAATTAAGTTTTCTGGACTACCCAAGATGGGCCGAATTTTTCACAATCACGAAAGTGTTATAGGAACGCTGAAACACTTTTTCAAGTAATCATGGAATGGAATCACCAAAGAAGCTAATTGCCTAACGAATTCAACATCACAAAAATTTTAGGAATCCATCCAGAGTTAACGAAGTTAGTACAAAGATTTGTCGCACACAGAAATCGTAGTATCTCTCCACTCATCCCGGCGAAAACACTGGAAGTGCAGAGGGGGACGGCATGGGAAAGAAAATACATAACACGTGCCTCGTGACCTTGACCACTTTTTTTTTTGCTCGAATACACGGCTTTTTCCGTGTGTTCGCGCGCTAGAATAGACAACTCCCGACCTCCCCCGACAATCCCTGTAACGACAGAGCATACCATGTTTAACGCCCCGCCGCGGTGGTCTAGTGGCTAAGGTACTCGGCTGCTGACCCGCATGGCACGGGTTCGAATCCCGGCTGCGGCGGCTGCATTTCCGATGGAGGCAGAAATGTTGTAGGCCCGTGTGCTCAGATTTGGGTGCACGTTAAAGAACCCCAGGTGGTCGAAATTTCCGGAGCCCTCCACTACAGCGTCTCTCATAATCATGAAGTGGTTTTGGCACGTTAAACCCCACATATCAATCAATTACCATGTTTAATTTTAGCCAATGGCTGATAGAGGGCCTTGTGCGAGTAATTTTTGAGCTTCCTCCGTCACTTGTCGAGAGAAGGGAAAGAAATTTTTAGCTGACTGATACTTTGCAAGCAGTGTGCTGCACTATAACATTTGGCTCGCATGTTCTCGGGAGCCTCTACAATTGATCAGCAGCGTTTTCTGACCATGCCCAAGAAGTGTTGCAGGTCCCCTTTAAAGGAGTAGTGCCACCATATTTGTGGCTTGCACGTACTTTGCTACAAGCACTTCTTATAACTCCAAGAAGCACAATGCACATGCCAAGATTCACTTGTTCTCCTGAAATATTTTAATATCATCTCATTTATGTGAACAATATTCAGCTTCGGTTTCTGTGCACCAGGCTGAGCAGTGATGTAGCAGTGTAGGTGGCTTAGTCCCATGACAATACAAAGCTTTGATCTGCATTGTGCTGGCTATCATCCGCTCTCGCACACACATGCCACACCACAAGCGCCAACAAAAACAACTTCGCAGACAGCTGTTATGGCAAGCACATGCGATGCTTTGTCCGTACATACGAGGCCGAGGCCTGGGGGTCGCTCACCTCACTACAGATATTGTATCACGTCACTACAACTTTCGCTGCCTGCCTTACAGAGCTACATCAGTGTAGTGTCAACTACTCAGGGTCTCAATCAGGAGAATAAGCATTAAGATACAATTTGAAAATAAACTAAAATATATTCTAAACATTCGCTGTGTCCGACCACTTGTGTGAAGTGTCCTTGCATACAGAAAAAACACCACAAGAGGCTTGTTATAGCCTTGAAATTTCATGGCACTACCCCTTTACCTCCGTTTGTTTCACTGAGCTGAGTCTAACAAAGAAATGAGCCCCTCAAGCAGTTCCCTCTTTTTCGTTGTGCATACATTATGCCCAGTGAGAAGCCAGCGCTGACCTTGAGCAATGCCGGGAAGTACTTTTCGGTGGCGCCCACGTCACACAGTGCAGCCAGGTTGCGAAGGGTGAAGTGAACCACATGCAGGGCATTGGACGGATTCAGCCAGGCACGAGAACCAGGACCCAGAAAGAACTGACTCAGGGAGTCGTCGGTCTTGTGCAACACAGCTTTTCCTGAAAGCCATAGGATTTGATTGATTGATTTCTCAGGTTTCCTTTCCTCCAATTTTTACTTGCCTCGCTATGATATAAAAAATCTAATAACCAAGTCCAGTCATCACAGTTTCCAAACACACTTGCACAGTACATATCCCGCTCCAACCTTTTCCACTAGCCATCTTGCCATGTCTGTCCTTCCAGTCAATCTCTTTATTCTGCCTTCAGTCACCATGCCTCGCTTGCCCTGGCCAGTTTATTGATTGATTCACCTTAGCATCCAGAACTATTCCCAAGCTCACTCATTAAGTTTTTTTTGTTTAGCAATACTGCCAATCTCGCAAGGCAACCACTGTAGGGAAAGCATACATATAAAACCGAAAAAAAGCACCATCCAATCATTTGTACATTTGTAGCACGCAAAACAACAGGCAAACAATACATCAACACCAATAATAACAATACGCATGGTAAAACTACAAATCGTAGCAGAAAAACAATGAATTTTCTGAACAATGAACAATGAAACAATTAAAAACAATGAATCACAGAGCACAGTGGCACCGCAACGATGTGGATCACTCACAACCCTTTTCTTCTTGCCGTGCAGTTACTTGGTGTTCTGCGTGCTGAGGGCTGCTTAAACCACGTCACGCTGAACGCTTCTACGCATGCAACACCGCTGTTCCCCTGCGAAATCTGCAATCACAGCACCGGAAATCTGGTCTCGCAACTGTTCAGCAGACTGCCATGTCATTCTACGTCATTGGATGCAGAGGACTATGCACATGAGCTACGCGGAGCGACACCTTTCAGAGAGCCTATAAAGAGACACCCGTTCGACGACTCGGTCACAGGGCACGGTGGCACCGCAACAATGTGGATCACTCGCAACCCTTTTCGTCTTGCCGTGCAGGTGAGAAAACACTATGGCAAATGTCTTCAGTTCAAGCGATTTCTTTTTATTGGTGCTGCCGTGCTCACGGCCGAGTTGTTTGCTGCATGCTGTTTGTTTCTCACTGAGAAGGTTGCTATTTCAGGGGGGGGGGGGGGGACATTGAATCAAACCCTGGCCCTGATCTTACTCAGATTTCAAAGCAGCTGAAAGAAATCTCGTGTGACATTAAGGATATTAAAGAGAAGCGGCTGGTTGAAATCGAAAAGCAACTAGGCACGTTTTCTAACCTGGACGACAAGATAAACACTTACCAGGAAGAACTGCGCAGCATTCGCAGTGTAGTTGAGTCACTCGAAAAGAAAGTAGACGAACTAGAAAACTACAGCCCCCGATCTAACCTAATCATTTATGGACTAACTGAAACAAAAGGTGAAAATTCTGAAACATTGTAAATGGCCGTTAACAATTTCAGAGTCTTCTAGAACTAGAAAATGTACCTATGGAACGAATAGATAGATTAGGCAAGCCGGCAAGTAACGAAAACCGCCCGGTTATCGTGAGGCTTTCGAACTCGCGAGACAAGTACAATATTCTAAAAAAGGGATATAATTAAAGAACTCGAAATTTCAATCGGTGAAGATTTTTTTCGGAACATTCGGGAAGTCAGACGAAAACTGTGGGCAAGTGCGAAGCCAAACCGTGAAAAGCATGAGGAGGTTACGTTATCATTTGACAAGTTGTACATTGGCGGGGTGGCATATGTCTGGGATGAAGAAAAAAATGATAAAGTACCGGTTAAAAAAAACGAGGCCGGAAGGCCAATTCGCCCAAAGACAAGAAGTCACACGAAAGTGTTGTCTTAGTTGGAGAAGCTAGCAAGGTTCCAAGCAACGAGAGAAGTTCCCCTTTCACAGATAACAACAATAGTATTGCTCACACATGTTCACCACAAACAAAGCAGTTGCGTATCACCAACTTAAACGCCCGCAGTGTTATCAAAAAAGCAGATTCATTACAAATTCAGCTGCTCATACACGATCCTCATGTCACTATCATTACGGAAACATGGTTGCATGGTCAGGTAACAGATGATCTTGTATTCCCACCGTGTTATATAGTTTTTCGTAGGGACAGGGCACATAGGGGCGGAAGTGTGGCTGTCCTTACTAAAGAACCAATTGATGCAACACTTGTTGATGAATATCCTGACATAGAGTGCCTATGCATTCAGTTGTCATGCTGGGGGCATTCCTTTGTATTGTTCGCATGTTATAGACCACCAAACGCTACACCCGACTACATGATAAAACTAAATGAATACATGTCTCCTTTTCGGCATAAAAAAATTTTTCTCGTAGGCGATTTTAACCTGCCTAGTATTAACTGGGAACGTCTTTAGGCAGATTTAACGAAGGACAGAAATGCTAACATTATCTTCGAACTTATGCTAGAACAAGATTTAATTCAAGCAGTTAATGAACCTACCCGTGTACAAGGTTTCTCTTGCAATATTCTTGACCTGCTATTTGTGAATCGTGATTTTTCGAAATGCGTCGTTTCAGTTGATAAAGGTCTGTCCGATCACAAGCTTGTAAATGTTTCCTGGCCCATACTTACGACTGTTGTCTCTAAACGTACAAAAAAACATTGCTTCAAAAACTTTGCTAAAGCTGATGATGCAAGCATAATAGATTACATGAAATTGTGCCTTGGTGACTTCACTGATACTGACAACAACGTACACGCTCTGGAAAATATTCCTCAAAATGTGTCGCCACTGCATAAATATTAAATATGTTTGTGCCTAACAAAACAAAGGCGGTCAATAAACAAACGCCGTGAATGACGCGTAACATATTGCAACTGAAGCGCAAACTAAAAAGAAAAGCAAAAAGAAGGGTGACTCATCGTGACAATATCATCGCCAACCACATGACCACATTTTTAGACAGAAATTCAGTTAACGAACTGCCAGCATGGCTTTAGGAAAGGCTACTCCACTACGACACAACTGTTAACTGTAATTTATAGTTTTGCAAGAACATTGAATAATAATGGTCAATAGACGCTCTTTCTTTAGACTTTAGCAAGGCGTTCGGTAGAGTAGTTCACTGTAAACTTATACAAAAACTCAGAGATTACAATCTTCCTAGCATTATAGTATCCTGGATAGCAGCTTATCTTTCGGATCGCGTGCAGTTTGTCACTATTGAGGGCAACGACTCAAGCTGTCTTCCAGTGACATCCGGAGTACCCCAGGGTAGTGTCCTGGGGCCATTGTTGTTTTTGGTCTATATAAATGACATTGTCAACGTTGTTACACCTGGCATACAAATCAGATTAATTGTAGACGATTGCGTTTTATATCAGGAAATAACTACAGTGCATAACCAAACCGACCTCAAGATTAGTTTGCGTAACATACAGGCGTGGTGTGACAGATCAGGCATGTCTTTAAACAAAGAAAAAACTGTCTGTCTGCGTATCACAAGGAAAAAAAGCCCGTTAAAATACACCTACACACTGGCCGCCTCACCACTAAAAGAAGTTGAAAACTTTAAATGTCTGGGAGTAACATTTTCAAACAACCTTTCGTGGAATTTTCATATTAGTAATATATGTTCTTCAGCTTTCCGTAAACTTTGTTTCCTGAAACACAAGCTTAAAAATCCACCCGCCCACATTAAACTAATGAGTTACATTACTTTCATTAGACCCAAGTTAGAGTATGCTTGCATTACATGGGATCCCTACACTAAACACAACATTAAAATAATAAAGTCCAGAGAAAAGCTGTTCGCTTCATTTAGTACTCTAAGTTTAAGCACACCGATTCCCCCACACAGCTGATGACAGAAAATGACATCCCCCTCCTCGAAACACGTAGGCAGATTCTCCGCCTCAATTTCCTACAATCACTCAATAAATGTGAATTATCCATCCACCCCGAATTATATGTAACACCTCTGTCCACAAGGCGTACACATCACGATCACACACATGCTTTAACCCCTCATTTTGCTAGGACAGATATTTACAAACACTAATTTTTTATTTTTTCCCAGGACAGTGTCGGAGTGGAACTCTAGATTGGAGTATATTGGGCCCTTCATGATGCGCTTGCGGCTGTTTTGCTAGCTCTAAATATATTGAATTTGATGTTACATGACATCAATGGATGACGAAACATATAATTGGTGCAAACATGATAATCTTGACGTGCATGTCATGTATGAGCATGACAACATACCACGCTCATAGCGTGCTTGTGGCCGTTTCACTAGCTCCACATATACTAAATTTGGTATCGCGTGACGTGAATAGATGGCAAAGGTGAACGACCCATCCAAAAATAATTTACAAGTTGGTCGGCCAGGAGGGAGCTGCCTAGGGCCGCCTCCCACCTGACCAATGTAGTGTTGGGATTTGTGTACATTGCCTTGCACTCCCAGAGCATGTGCGCCAGCGTGGATACATCCCCACATGCGGGGCAAGCGTCATTGGGAAACACGTCAGGATAAATAGCGTAAAGGGATCTCAGGTTAGGGTACATGTCGGTCTGCAGTAGTCTGAGCGTAAGGGCCTGTGGCCTATAAGATTTGGATAAGGGAGTGGATATAGTCTACGCGCGAGGTAAAAATACTTTGTTATTTCGTTGTACGTGGCAGGCGCGTCCCTGTTTTCCGCAACCCCGTTGGCCCCGAATCGTTGCCCGGAACCCGCGCGGTCGGTTAGTGCGCGCGCGGCCTCGTGGGCAGACTCGTTGAGGTTGGGGGGAGCGCCTTGGACCTGTCCAACATGTGCAGGAAACCAAATCAGTACGTGGTGCTTGATGCCGTCGCGGCCACCACTTTGGAGCACGTGCAGGGCTTTCTTGGAGATTACACCGTGCTCGAAAGCACGAATAGCTGACCTAGAGTCACCATAGATGACCTCCCTTTCACCTTCCAGGATGGCCAGGGCGATGGCCACTTCCTCGGCAATCGTCGGATCGTCAGTGTGAACCGATGCGCAGTTGGTGATTTGTTGTTTGGAGTCGACGACGACTGCGGAGAAGGCGCGGCTCCCACGGTACGCTTCCGCGTCGCCAAAGCTGACGCCGTGCTTCTCACTGTGAATC